TGCCTTTGCTTTTGCTTGTTTTTGCTTTTGCTTGGTTTTGCTTTGGCTTCGCCTTTGCACACACACACACGCATGTGTTTGCATTCGCTCACCGGGTGAGCTCTCTGATCGTACTGTTGCACATTGCTTTTGCTTTGCCTTTCCTTTGCTTTTGCTTTTGCTTCGCTTTGCTTTGCGTTGCTAGTGCTTTGCTTTGCTGTTGCTGCTGTTGCTTTGCCTTTGCTTTGCTGCTATGCTATGCTATGCTATGCTGCGCTATGCTATGCTATGATATGCCATGCTATGCTGCGCTATACTGCGCTATGTTATGCTACGCTAGGCTGCGCTATGCTTTGCTAGGCTATGTAATGCTATGCTATGCTGCGCTATGCTATGCTATGCTATGCTGTGCTATACTGCGCTATGCTATGCTATGCTATGATAGGCTATGCGATGCTGCGCTATGCTATGCTACGCTGGGCCATGCTATGATATGCTAAAACTAAGCTAAGCTAAGCTAAGCTAAGCTAAGCTAAGCTAAGCTACAGCTACGCGAAACTCAGATGAAGCTAAGCTAAGCTAAGCTAAGATGAGATACGCAAAGCTAAGGTAAGGGAGCGCAACTGGGGGAACCGCGGGGCGGGGACCGGGCGAACCGCCCAGGGCGGAGCCCACTACCCGGCCCCTTTTAAGCCCAGCGAGTAAGAACCCTCTAGGCAGAGCCTAGGTAGGGAACAACTGTGAGGCCCGCGCGGATTTCTCTGATCGGCGCTGGACCTCCTCCCTGGCGCGCAGAGCGCGCCAGGGGCGGCGCCAGGGGGGGCCCATACCCGCGCGGACCTCAGAGTTTTTCTGTTTGTTTCATTGTTTCTTCCCCTATGGTTGGGGACGTGTGCTCGGCGAGCGAGACCGAGGCTCCCGCTCCCACTGCGCCGAGCAGGACGTTCTGGTGAAGCAGAGGGACGCCGCCATGATGGTGACTACGGGGGGTGCCAACGACTTCGCACGGCTCAGTTGGAGGCTGCTGAGAATGTCTCCAGGGACGTCTTGGGCAGCTGGGACGTGCGGCTGTTCGGCGCAAGCTGAGCGACCGCGGGCAGGCACGCCAGTACCCCACCCCCCGTCGCCCCTCTGGAGGGCCGGGGCCGTGCGCAGCGAGGCGTCTACAGTGTCGCTCAGCGGCATCCGGAGACGGCCCTTGTCTCCACTGCTGGGCAGGGGCGTGCACGGACGGGGGTTTTGCTTTGTCTCCGGCGGCCAGAGGAGGGCCTGCCGCTGAGACTCCGGGTTTGGGATCCCAGGCCCGCTGGAGGAGGGGCCGCGCGACGCGCCGGGCTCCTTTGCGCGCGGGGCTCCTTGACGCTTCGTGCCTTCCTCCCTGCGCCCCAATCTACATTTGTTGTGCAGCGATCTGCCGTTGCCTCGTTGCTGGCTCCCCTTCCAGGGGGGGGGATCCTGGGCATAAATCGCGCGGGTCCCTGTGGCGCGGCTCGCGCAGGGGATGCGGCTGCGGAGGGGGGTGTCCCGTGTTGCGGGGGGTTCGGTTCGTCGTCGTCTTCTTCTTCGGGGGGCTCGCCCAAAGCTGGTTTGTATAGCTTAATTTCCGCTGGCACCGAAGCGTATCCCTCACATGACTTTCAGTGTGACAACTGATGTCCCTGACTGCGGTTGGCGACTTGGCCACCGCCTTCGATTCGGGAGGGGACTTTCTTCCCCCCTGGCACACAGACAGGACCAGTGCGGCGGCCAGTAGTCTCCTCGGCTGCTGGTCGCCTTGCTAGGCTTTTTCACAGTCGGTTACAGCCTGGAGCTGCCACGAGGCGGCTCCAGGGTGGCTTCTTCCCCACATGCTTTGTGGGGTTCTGGTATTCTTCCCTGCCGCGCCGCACCCGCGACACTCACGCACACACGCACACACACCTCCCCCCTCCTCACAGCACTGCTCAGCACAGCTCAGGTCAGCTCAGCTCAGCTCAGCTCAGCACGGCGCAGCTTAGCACAGCTCAGCTCAGCTCAGCTCAGCACAGCACAGCACAGCGCAGCACAACACAGCTCATCGCAACACAGCACAGCACAGCACAGCACAGCACACAGCACAGCACAGCACAGCTCAGCTCAGCACAGCACAGCGCAGCTCAGCACAGCACAGCACAGCACAGCACAGCACAGCACAGCACAGCTCACCGCAGCACAGCACAGCACAGCATAGCACACAACACAGGACAGCACAGCACAGGCGTGGCACAGGCGTGGCACGCATGGCATTTCCTCGACACCACAGGGGGGGAGCTGTGGGTGGGGACGCTATCCGTTTCGGGCTCGCAAAGCGTGGCAGGCGTGGCACTTCCTCGACACCACAGGGGGGGAGCTGTGGGTGGGGACGCTATCCGTTTCGGGCTCGCAAAGCGTGGCAGGCGTGGCACTTCCTCGACACCACAGGGGGGGAGCTGTGGGTGGGGACGCTATCCGTTTCGGGCTCGCAAAGCGTGGCAGGCGTGGCACTTCCTCGACACCACAGGGGGGGAGCTGTGGGTGGGGACGCTATCCGTTTCGGGCTCGCAAAGCGTGGCAGGCGTGGCACTTCCTCGACACCACAGGGGGGAGAGCTACGTTTCGGGGGTGGCAGGCGCATATGTGGGTGGGGACGCGATGGCACTTCCTCGACACCACAGGGGGGAGCTGTGGGTGGGACGCTATCCGTTTCGGGCTCGCAAAGCGTGGCAGGCGTGGCACTTCCTCGACACCACAGGGGGGGAGCTGTGGGTGGGGACGCTATCCGTTTCGGGCTCGCAAAGCGTGGCAGGCGTTTCCTCGACACCACAGGGGGGGAGCTGTGGGTGGGGACGCTATCCGTTTCGGGCTCGCAAAGCGTGGCAGGCGTGGCACTTCCTCGACACCACAGGGGGGGAGCTGTGGGTGGGGACGCTATCCGTTTCGGGCTCGCAAAGCGTGGCAGGCGTGGCACTTCCTCGACACCACAGGGGGGAGCTGTGGGTGGGGACGCTATCCGTTTCGGGCTCGCAAAGCGTGGCAGGCGTGGCACTTCCTCGACACCACAGGGAGGGAACAGTGGGTGGGTACGCTATCCGTTTCGGGCTGGCGTGACACTTCCTCGACACCCAGGGGGGGAGCTGGGGTGGGGACGTTATCCGTTTCGGGCTCGCAAAGCGTGGCAGGCGTGGCACTTCCTCGACACCACAGGGGGGGAGCTGTGGGTGGGGACGCTATCCGTTTCGGGCTCGCAAAGCGTGGCAGGCGTGGCACTTCCTCGACACCACAGGGGGGAGCTGTGGGTGGGGACGCTATCCGTTTCGGGCTCGCAAAGCGTGGCAGGCGTGGCACTTCCTCGACACCACAGGGGGGGAGCTGTGGGTGGGAACGCTATCCGTTTCGGGCTCGCAAAGCGTGGCAGGCGTGGCTTTCCTCGACACCACAGGGGGGATCCGTGTCGGCGTGGCAGGCGGACACCACAGCTACGCTATCCGTTTCGGGCTCGCAAAGCGTGGCAGGCGTGGCACTTCCTCGACACCAGAGGGGGGGAGCTATGGGTGGGGACGCTATCTGTTTCGAGCTCGCAAAGCGTGGCAGGCGTGGCACTTCCTCGACACCACAAGGGGGTGCGCTGGGGTGGTCTCCCTATCCGTTGCGGGCTCGCAAAGCGTGGCAGGCGTGGCACTTCCTCGACACCACAGGGGGCGCGTTGGGGGTGGTCTCCCTATCCGTTGCGGGCTCGCACAGCGTGGCAGGCGTGGCACTTCCTCGGCCCCACAAGGGGTGCGCTGGGGGTGGTCACCCTATCCGTGACGGGCTCGCAAAGCGTGGCAGGCGTGGCACTTCCTCGGCACCACAGGGATTGCGCTGGGGGTGGTCTCCCTATCCGTGACGGGCTCGCAAAGCGTGGCAGGCGTGGCATCTCCTCGACACCACAGGGGGTGCGCTGGGGATGGTCTCCTTATCCGCTGCGAGCTCGCAAAGCGTGGCAGGCGTGGCACTTCCCCGACACCACAGGGGATGCGCTGGGGTTGGTCTCCCTATCCTTGACGGGCTCGCAAAGCGTGGCAGGCGTGGCACTTCATCGACACCACAGGGGGTGCGCTGGGGGTGGTATCTCTATCCGTTTCGGGCTCGCAAGGCGTGGCAGGCGTGGCACTTCCTCGACACCACAGGGGGGGGCGCTGGGGGTGGTCTCCCTATCCGTTGCGGGCTCGGAAAGCGTGGCAGGCGTGGCACTTCCTCGACACCACAGGGAGTGCGCTGGGGGTGGTATCCTTATCCGTTGCGGGCTCGCAAAGCGTGGCAGGCGTGGCACTTCCTCGACACGACAGGGTGTGCGCCGGGGGGTGGTCTCCCTATCCGTTGCGGGCTCGCAAAGCGTGGCAAGCAATATGGCGTTGGATGACACATAGGGAAACATTCGCGACGAGGGCTCAGAACGCAGGATTGCGCATATATTAAAAACACAAGCAAGCACATCATATTTAAATTAAGTATGTGGGGTTCTTCGGTAGCGTAATTAACCCTTGACTTTTTTGTCGGCCTTCGGCCGAAGGGCGTCTACGGCAGAGGCGCCGCGTCGCCATCAACCACGACACATCGACGCGGTGCAGTCTGGCAAGGGTGGGCGGTGGCAGCGCCTCCTCGGTCGCGGGCGCCCCTCGGTCTCTTGCAGGGCTAAGCGGGTCGGAAGGAGCCCGCGTTGATATTTTCCTGTTCGCACGGCCGCAAAGGTTTAAGTTCTGGGGTCGTGCGTGTTCTGCGGAGTCTGGGCGGTCAATAGCGGCGTCGATTCCGACTCATTCTTATGTAGCATTCCCTCCTGCGCTACGAGGACTGGCGAACCAAGGTCCATTCGCCATCTCCTCCTCCTCCTCCTCCTCCTCCTCCTCCTCCTCATCTCCTCCCTTTCCTTCTCTTCCTCTTCTTCTTCCTCCTCCTCGCCCTCTCCCCCGGCCCCTCGCGCCCCCTCCCCCCTCCCTTCTCTCCCGAGCGTCCTCTCCGCCGGATACTCGCGCGCCAGCCAGGCCAGCCCGAGCTGCGCCTGGACCAGATTGGCGACCCGGAGGAGCTGCCGGGCGGCCCTCCTTGGGCTTCGCGTAATGGGTGGGCGGGGGGGGCGATAGATGGGGGGGCAGCGTGGGTTGCAGAACGGGGGCCCTTGAGGGCCCCGAAAAGGGGGCCCTTTCGGGCACATAATGAAACCTGAAGGGCCGAAAGGTGCACATTTCTTTCCCCTCCATGCATCGCCCCTCCAATGAGCGACGCCCGAAGTTGTTCCATCAGCGTCATTTGGCGGCCTTTGGCAGCCTTCGGCTCCTTCGGCGCCCCTCGTTGGCATTCGGCGGCCCTCGGCGGCCATCGGCGGCCATCGGCGGCCCTCGGCGGCTTTCGGCGGCCTTCGGCGGCCTTCGGCGGCCCTCGGCGTCAAACCTCGGCGGCCTCCTCGCCTGCCCGCAACTGCCTTCGACGGCTCCCTTATTTGGTAGGGCTTCGGGCTGCGCGCAGACAGCACCGAGGCAGCCCAGGCTGGCCTCGACAGGCCTTCCGAGGTAGTCCAGGCTGGCCTCGACAGGCCTTCCCAGGTTGTCCCAGCTGGCCCCGACAGGCCTCTCGAGGTAGTCCCAGCTGGCCGCAACAGGCCCCCGAGTAGTCCAGGGCGGTCTTTGGGCGCGAAGCGCCCCAGGAGGCCTTTTCAGCAGGAGGATGATGAGAAGGAGGAGGAGGAGGGAGGGGGAGGGGGAGGTGAAGGGGTAGGGGGAGGGGGAGGGGGAGAGGGAGGAGGGGGAGGGGGAGGGGGAGGGGGAGAGGGAGGAGGAGGGGGAGGAGGAGGAGGGGGGAGGAGGAGGGGGAGGAGGAGGACGACGACGATGATGGCGGCGAGCGAGGGGGGAAAATGAGAACGAGCAGAACTTCTCAGAAGGCGGTGGGGCTTCTCAGAAGCCCTCGCTCCTTCTGAGAAGCCCTCGCCCCTTTTGCCCTTCCTCGTTTGTGCTGTTTTCGTTATTTCTTTTTCCACTCTGTCGCCCTTCCTTGTTTCTCCCCGCTCCCTTTGTTTCTGAGTGGACGTGGTCGTGGAAGCTTGCTTCGATTTCGTGAGTCGCCTGCCCAGACCAGTGCCAGCCGCCGCTCTCGGCGGGTTCCTGTGCAAAGCCGCCTGTGTCTTCAGGGAAGGCTCATGACAACCTCTCGGCAGGCCCGAGGCCTTCCGAGCCTTCTGAGCAGGCCCGCCCCCTCCTGCCTTCCCCCCGGGCTCGCCGCCGACTGGAGGCCGCCCGCGCTTTCCTCGACTACGTCTACGGCATGGACGGCGCGTACAACATCACGTCGGACGTGGTGCACCGCCGCCGCCGCCGCCTGCGCGCCTCGCCCAGCGGGGCGCCTGGGGGAGCGCGCGCGCGCGCCGGCGCTCCCGCCGGGGGGCGCTGCACCGCGAGCGGGCCCCGTCGCGGGGGAGGCCATCTCCAGTGCAGTCGTCCCCAGGCCCCGTCGGGTCGTGAGGTAATCACGGCGGGAGGTTTTTGGCCTCTTTAAGCATCGGAAGGCTTCGGGGCTGTCAAAAGACGGCCGGGGATGAGAAGACGGTCTTGGGGAATGGGTCCAGATCGCTGGAGGTCCATGCCATGAAAAAATCAGAGGCAACAGCGTGAAATGGGGATTCCCCGCTGCAATGCCCTGCGGAGAGCCGCGTCCTCGTCCTCCTCTTCCTCGCCCTCCTCCTCTTCCTCCTCCTCCGAATGTGGTTCTATGTTCGGTATTCAAGGATGCAGTCAAAGTCTCACGAGCATTACGGCGAGCAGGGTTTGTTGTCAAAACGCAACGTACGGCAGCATACCTTGGTTCTGATTTGGACAGCGGCAGGGCGCATGCGAGATCGACTCGTCGCGCTCGGTTTCAGAAGTGTAGCAGGATGCACGATAAGGTCAGGAGGTACAAGGCAGCAGGACGACGGACTCGAGTCACATCTAAGCTGGAGAGGCTTGGGGCTCAGGCAGCAGGGTCCTACGCCTACCAGGTCCATGGCGTGTTTGGCATGCAGCTCAAGGCCTACCGTCGCAGGTTGGGGGCAGCAGTGGGATCGACGGCTCGAAAGAGATGTCTCACGACGCTCATCGGGCTGAAAACCCCAGACGATCCAGCGCTGCGCATGCCTGAGGAGGGTGTACGCACTTGGTTCCGCATTTGGCAGCAGGAGCCGTCAGTATGAGCTGGAGTGCACGCCGCGTGGCCAGCGGCGGCCGCTCACCTCAAGGATGTTGTGCCGACTCGTCGTTCACGTCATATCACAGGGCCACTGTCGGCGATTGTAACCTGGTTGCTGGACAACGATTTGGACCCTCAGTCTGCGACCTGCTGGGCAATGCCGCCCACAGAGACTGGGGAGATCATCGAGTGGCAGTTTCCCGACGCGGTCAGGTCGGGGTTCGTTGACGTTGAGCGCCCACAGGCTTGGTACGAAATTTGAGGACATCCATTTCGGCCAGATTGTGGCGGAAGGCTAGCGAGCACTTCTGCGGCGCAGGCGTGGAACTCGGCGAGGACATGACGCCGCTGCGCAGGCTCTACCAGCAGTTCGAGAGCATGCCGACAGGCAACCACATGGCGGAGGTGCTCGGCATGGTAGTCACTGGGGGCAGCTGGCCAAGGGATCGGCGCGTCGACGCCGCGGGGGCCAAGGCGCTAGGGCTATCGCGCCTAGCTATGCCCGAGGTGTGGCGAGCAGGACGAGAACATGTTCCACAGGGTCAAGAGCTGCTCCAAGAACGCGGGGTCGCTGGCTTTCGAGCGTTCGCAGACCCTCCTGCCCGTTCAGCGGGCACGAGAGTGAGGAGTGTTTCTGGTTGCGGGGGTTGTTGCCAGCTCCATGGACAGCAGTGACCCCGCCGCTTGGGCAGGAGGAGTGACGTGTGTCAGACGTCGCGGCGGCGCCGAATCCGCCGACGCCCGTTTCAGGCGGGTTGGCCTGGAGGTTGTTTGCGTTGCCACCTTCGGCCCGTTCGCGATCGCTGGAACGGTGTCGGGGGGCCTCCCTGGCGCACGGCAGAGCTTGCCGCGTGGGGGGCTGTGTGCGCTGCCCATCGCGGTTCAGATGTCTAATGGTTTTGTGTACTTTGTCACTGATAACAGTGGCGGTGCCGACGGATGGTACGCTCGCAAGTTTGTTTCGCCAGTTGGTGAGGATGTCGACCTGTGGTACAGGATTGGGGTAGCAGTCGCTGCCAGACGCGACTCCGAGTTTGTTGTGCTGTTCGTCAATTCGCAACAGTCACCGCAGCAGGTGGTGGCAGGCAAGGCGCCATGGCAGCTCGTCCAAGGCAACGCTGCCCTGGACCTCGTCGCAGGTGCTGCTGCCGAGCGCCTCGGAGTGCCCGAGCGAGAGCGGGCGCGCGTTCACTTGCTGGGAGATTAGGGGCCCGGGCCCGCCTCTGGGAGGCTTCAAATCGCCCTGGGGAGCCGTCAGACAGCAATCCCGGCGGCCCCAGACGGTCTCTAGACACCCCCGAGACGCCGTACAGGGGTCTGTGGCGACGCAGGATGCATGTTAAATTGCCCCGGAGGCCCCCAAGACGCCCCAAGAGGCATTTAAGATGCCGCCCGAGAGCGCCCCGAGAGGGCAAAATCGTTGATTAGCATTGTTTTGTTTTCATGTTTTTTTTTTTTTGCATTCTCGCTGTTTCGTGTTTCCGTCGCGCTAAAGTACCGCCCGAGAAGCTTCCAAAACCGCTCCAAGACGGCCCAAGAGGCCCCCAAGAGTGCCCAAGAGAGCCGCGAGACGGCCCCAGAGCCGCCCAAGACGGCGCAAGAGGGTCCCAAGAAGGCCCCAAGAGGGGCCCAAGAGAGGGAATGCGAACTGAAAAATCAAGCTTTCCGCCCCAAGATGCCCCCAAGAGGCCCCAAGAGGCCCCCAGGAAGCCCCCAAGAGGCCCCCAAAGGCCCCCAAGAGCCCCCAAGAGGCCCCAAGATGGCACCCAAAAGGCTTCAAAACTCTTTCTAAGAGGCCCCCGAAGCAGTCCAGGATGCTCCAAGGAGGCCCCAAGAGGCCCCCAAGGGAGCCCAAGAGGCCCTCAAGAGGCCCCCAAACGGCATCAAACAGCATCCAGGAGGCCGGAAAGAGGCCCCCAAGAGCCCAGCGGTCCAGGCGGGGGCCGAACGAACATTTCCAGCCATGGCTTCCCGGAAGCCCAACAGGAAACCCCACGTAGTTCGCAAGACCCCCCCGCCCGACGCTCGAGAGACGTCCAAGAAGGCGGGCCCAAGAGCGCTCCAAGAGAGCCCAAGACCGCACAAGAGCGTTTCAAATCCGTAAGGGCTTCGCCCCCTGCCGCCGGCCCCCTCTCTATCATAATTGGATACATCAGAGCTATATTGGGATGTTCGGGCGCCGTCTTGATGACATTCGGGAGCGTCATGCTAGGGCGTCTGGCGATGAGCAAAACAGAATGAGATGTTGAAATTGTTGTTGGACGCTTTGTTGCCTTCTTGGCATTTTCCTCCAGATGTTCACTGGAAGCGCTCTGGGAACGGCTGGGGATTGCTCCAGGCAATCTCTGCGAAGGTTTTTTTTTTTCTGCTCTGGAGAAGGAGTGGCGACTTTGGGCAGTTCCGCGAGGTCGATTCGTACCGTGGGGGGTGCGCGCGAATTTGGTGTAATTTGCAGGGGATCGTGGCCTCGGGGACGCGAATGTGGTGTAATTTGCAAGGGATCGTGTCCTGGGGGGCGCGGCAGCGGTGTAATTTACAAGGGATCGTTGCCTCGGGGGCGCGAGTGTGGCGTAGTTCACGCGGGATCGTGGCCTCGGGGGCGCAAGTGTGGCGTAACTTACGAGGGATCGTGGCTTGGAGGGTGAATGTGGGACCCACCGCTGAATTTTCCAGAAACGGGGGGGGGCAAAACAATACCAGCGGAGCACATATCCCAGTACAGGAAATTGCCGTTTTTCTGCTTTGGAGAAGGGAGCGCCTTTTCGGCAGCCTCCGCAAGGCGGATTCGTGGCCTCGGGGGCGCGCCCGCTGCGTAATTTACGGGGGAGCGTGGTGTCAGGGGCGCGAATTTGTGTTAATGTATTAGGGATCGTGGCCTCGGGAGCGCGAAAATGATGTAAATTATATGGGATCGTGGCTTCGGGGGCGCGAATGTGGTGTAACTTACGGGGGATCGTGGCCTCGAGGGCGCGAATGTGGAGTAATTTGCAAGAGATCGTGGCCTCGGAGACGCAAATGTCGCGTAAATTACGACGGATCGTGGCCTCGGAGACGCGAGTGTGGGGTAATTTACGAGGGATCGTGGCTTCGGGGGGCACGACATTTTAGTTTCTTTACATGTCCCCCCCCCCAGAAATTCTGAGAACCCTCCCGGGGGACGCTAACCAGGGCCCTTTTCGGCTCCCCCCCCTCGCGCGGACAGTAACAATTTATAGTAGGAAGCAGAAAACAGTGCTGTAACAATGGAAACTGGAAGCTGGAACTGGTGCAGTGAGCAGCAACCTTACTCCTCGCAGCCTGATGGCCCCGCGAGGGGGCCGGCGGATTTGGTCCAACATGGCTTGAAGACAGCCCAAGAGGGCTTCAAGACGGCCAAGATGGCCTCACAAGGACTGCCACAAGATACTGTTTCGTGCTTCTGAAGGTCCAAGACATCCCACGAGGTCCTAGAAATCAGCTCGAGACGGCCCAAGAGGCACCCAAAGAGGGGGCCACGACGGCGCAAGAGAGTCCTGACACGGCCCAGGAGCGCCCCAAGACGGCCCAAGAGGGGCCCAAGAGGGGCCACACGAAACAAATCGAGCCTTCCGGCCCAAGAGGCCTCCAGGAGGCCCCAAGAGGCCCCACAAGGCTCCCAAAAGAGGCCCCAAAAGAGACCCCAAGGGCACCCCAAAGGGTCCCCCAAGAGGCGTCAAAAACATACATGTGCATGGCAAAGGACCGCCTAGCCTATCGTGGCATCGCACCGTTGCATGACATGGCATGGCACGGCACAGCGCGATATAGCTAACCGTGTCAGCACATATCACAGCATGGTTCAGCATGCCATAGCATTGCATTCTATAACAGTGTCTAGCTGAGCCTAGCGCTGCACGCCATGTCGTAATATAACCTAGCATGGCAGTTGCATATCATGACACATCGTGGCGTGCTATGGCATCCCAATGCACATACATCAATCGAACAGCACCGTACTGCTCTGCGCAACAGTAAACAGAACTCTTGCGAATCTCACACCCCCGTTGTTGTTCTTACTGTCGTCCTGTTTATTCTAACCTAGCGCTCATAACATGGCATAGCATAGCATTGCATTGCATAGCGTGGCATGCCGTGTCTGTGCATACCATGTCGGA